TATATATATATATAAAGTGAAATAAAAAAAGATTATATCTTTCATATTTAGAACTAACTCGTTAAGTCTTAATAGAGTATTCTACCTGTTATATTTAAGATAACAAAATTTAAAAACGACATTTTCGGATGTTAGATGCATAATCTTTATTTTATTTGAGGATTATAAAATCTCAAAAAAATTAAAATACCACACTAGTCAAACAATAACACGTCAAGTGAAACAGACCTATCAAGACGTAAAAGGGAACGTGGAATAGATATGATGATACAAATTTATAGTAGCACTGTAAAACTAGTACTCTCTCAGAAACAGCACATAATGATACAGAATCAGACTGACCTGTCAGATATTATTTTCCATCTATAAGGTCCAAACAAGTCGAAGAAATTAACAGGTCGTTTAAGTTGAAGTTATTTTAATTTATTTTTAAATCATTTTTTTTTATTTTTAGGAGTATTTGACAAATTAAAAATAAGTAAAAAATAACTTAAAATAAATTAGAGAGTATTTAGAAAGTCATAAACGAATTTTTTAAATTTTTATTTTTTTAAAAGAAAGAAAAATACGTCTCTCTTTACTTTTTTTTTAATCTTTTGACTTATAAACTAAGTACTCCGGCTATTTCAATTTATGTAATTTACTTTAATTTTAGTCAATCCAAAAAATGACACATTTTCATATTAAGTAGCAATTCAATTATGAAATATCTGGTTTATCCTTAAAAAAATGATTTACAGTTATACAAATTCTATCATTGGACTTTAAGTTTTAAAAAACTTTATTTCTTTAATCCAATTATGTATTGAGTTAAACTACCTCAAATAAAATGAAACAGATGGAATACTTTATTTAAATCAGTCCAAACGGGCTCGGCTCTAAGTATACTAGTATTAGTTTTAAAGAGGAAACATGCATACATATACAAAGTGTCTTAATTACATTAAGAGTCTGTTTGGCTCAGCTTAAAAGCTGGTCAAACTGACTTAAAATCTGGTTTTTAATTTATTTAACTGTTTGACAATTACTCAAAATAGCTTATTTTAAGTTAAAAAAACTTATTTTAAGCCAAAAGTTAAAAGCTGGGTTAGGGGTGTTTTTTTTTAGCTTATAAGCTGTTTTAAGTTGACCACATTTTTATGTTTTTTCCCTTAATATTTTTATATAATCTCCAAATTACCCATATAACCCTAACATCTCTTTCTTCTATTTTTCCCTTTTCACGTTTGGCATAACAACTTCAACACTTTTAACGCATAACTGCTTATTTTAAAAATAAGTTTCAGCACTTTCAAAAGTACTTTTTTAAAGCTGCTTTTATTAAGCCCCATCCAAACGGGCCCTAAATTATTATTGTTAAAAGATTATTTAGTGGAAGAATGAGACATTGTTAGAGAGTTAATTGTTGGCGTCTGCTTAGGTAGATGAAGATATATATATGTTTGATGTTGGTGGTTGGTGACAGGTGTGCAGTGAATGGTTACGTAGAAGGAGTTAGGGAGTTAGCATGTGAAATATTGGAGCTGATGGCAGAGGGATTAGGGGTCCCACGTACGTCAGTGTTAAGCAACTTCCTTAGAGACTCACATTCAGACTCTCTTCTTAGGCTCAATCACTATCCTCCTCTTGTACAACTTGTCAACAATACTAATAGTATTGGATTTGGAGAACATACTGACCCTCAGATCTTGACCATCTTGAGATCCAACGACGTTCCTGGACTTCAAATCTCACCACGAGACGGTTTCTGGGTCCCTGTCTCCCCTCACCCTTCTACTGCTTTTTGTGTCAATGTGGGTGACGCACTACAGGTATTTTATATTTTCATATAGGAATATTACTTATTCAACATTAAATACATAAATGCATGCATGCAACCTAGAGTGGTCTCACATATGTAGAAAGTGCATTGTAATCCTCATTAATTTAAAACGGGTAAAAGAGGCTAGAAATGAAGTGAAACTGATGTGATAGCTACACATTTTGGGGCTTAGCAAAACTACAGCTTCCTTCAGCACTGGGCTCTGCCCATTCTTACAATATTGATGTATTGATAAAACTGAACACTCTCTGCAAACATAGTTTTTGAGGACCCTACTTCTATAACTTCTCCCTATACTTCAATCTTCAATGCTATCTAAACAGCTCAACTTTTTTTTTAAATATGAATAACTTTTTTTCTATCTATGTACCAAATGTCATAAAAGCTACACGAAAATTAGTAAATGAATAACTTGTTTTTCATCCAGCTACCAAACCACCTCTAAGCAATTCAATCCTAATGTAAAGTTGGTCAGGGAGATTGTTTATTTGTTATCACTTAGTACAGCATTTTGTGTAATACAAAGAGACTAATCCATTTTAATAATTCCTGTTTGTTGATTTCAGGCACTAACTAACGGAAGGTTTTTGAGTGTGAGGCATAGGGCTATGGTGAATTCCTGTAGGAGGAGGATGTCAATGGCTTACTTTGGTGCTCCAGCACTCAATGCCAGGATAGTTTGTCCCCCTGAGCTGCTCTCGCCACACGAACCTAATCTGTACAGGCCTTTCACTTGGGATGAGTATAAGAAAGCTACTTATTCCAGGAAGCTTGGAGACACTCGCCTTCACTTCTTTAGAGCACAATCAGATCATGATGATCTTACTGAATGATCTCAATACCTTTATTACAAGGAAAAAAATGAGGCTTGAATGGTTCTGTAGATCCCCCAAAAGGGGAGTTTTGTTTCTGTCCATTCCCTCTCTGTGTTTGGTTAACTAGGTTTTAGCTACATTTTACTTGGACTACTAGCTTTAATGTGATTTTCTCTTGTACTTTAATGAAGCGTAAATGCAATTTCTCTTTGGTTTCCACTTCCAACTCAAACTAGTCAAACGAACTCCTTTCAGTAAAACCATTTCTGATATGGTCCAAGGGACTGAGAAATACCGAGTGCTTCAGTTTCAACGAATCAGGCTGAGAGTTCCAGTCAAATAGTAAAAGTTCAAAGGCACTAGCACGCGTGAGAATTGAATGAAACATTTCATTACACAGAATGTTTAGATTCAAAATCAGAACATTTATTAATGAATGGCACCAATCAGTGTCACGTTTATGATTTAATTGAAAGGTACAATGATATACTACAACACAAGCTTTGGCAATTTATTTTGCACAGAGAACACAAACTGTCTGTTAAATCAGAAAAGGTTAATTTCTAACAAGAAAATCTCTTCATTTTGATGGTAAAAACATGGAATTGCAGAAATGGGAACACATTTAGAGACCTACTTGAGATCTGGCAGCAGAGCGTGAACATTTCCTACGACCATTTGGTCTTAGTGCACAAACACAATTCTCAAGGAGTTCATAATCCTCGTTCCAGAATAATTTGGATGCCATATCTGGATTTTGCAACAGCATCTTTGAGGTCAAGTATCCAGCAATTGTCCAAGTCTGACACAATCGAGCTTGCTTGCCAATGAATCTTCCATGCCTTGTATCATAATATTCAGGCCAGTGGTCAGCTGAAAGTCTCTTTTCAGCCAAATCCACCGCTTTTTGAGCTAGTTCTGGTCTTCCCATTTTAATACAAGCAAGGGTAAACTACGTATGAAAAAATAAAGATGGTTAAGATGGCTTATCGAGAACATTCTAAATATTAGTATCAATTCTAGTTCTGGTACACATTTATTTGCTGGCATATCATCTTTCTCATTTCAATTCCATAATGATCAAGAAATTCACAGGGAATGTACCTGCCACAGTAGAGTAGGCCATGAACCACCATTATGATATGACCAGGGGCTGCAGAAAATACATTGATTAAGTTTGTGAACAGACCTTTAAATTTTATCAGAGTGTTTCGGAAGTACACAACGAGCTACCACAAGGTACAGAGATATGGGACAGAGGAAGCAAAAAGGCAGAAGCTAGAGGCTCACGTATTCTTAGGGTCACTGCCAGTGATAATGCGCCATTCTTCATGTTCTAAAGCTGGGTAACAAATCTTTAGAGGCATTTTCCCCATGAGGTCATCCCATTTGTCTTCAATCAAATTCAAAATATAGATTCATTCTGTTCATGAGATCCTAGTGATGAAATAATGGTCCAAATATTTCCATGAGTGAAAAAACGAAAATCCATATGTGCAGGTTGTAAATTGCCAACAAGATATCCACCAATCTCTGGAATCCAATCCACAAGCCAAGATGGAATTTGATCTGGGTAGATATTGAACTTGTTGATGGCATCTGTAGAATATTCTTCTGTTTTATAGCGATATATCTCATTAATCTTTTTCCTGTCCAACCAATAGTAGTCCCTCATGTGAAAAGAAAGTGCACTGAGACGGTTGTTGATGGCAGAAACAAGACTTTTTGTGGAGTCGTTGATGCTGAGCATCTCACGGGAGCTTCGTAAAGCTGAATAAAATAGGGCCTGCAGATATAATGTATTAGTTCAGTAAAGCAGTAAGTAAACTATACTATCTGAAGCTATAAGCCACACAGCATACACTACTCAGGTCGAAAAAAATAAGGCAAGCTGTCCCCTAAGAGTCAAAATCTGAGATATAAGGTAGGTGAGAAATTCTCAGATGTAACCAACAGGGAGCAATTTACCTAGATGCTAAACAAGAGTCAATTTGATAGTAAATCTGTAGATAAGTAACATATTCTGTGTAATACTTACTCTCACTACACTAAAATGTTCATGTTCTCATGTCATGCTAGGATATACTACATCAGACTTAAACACGTGGTGAGTAGCATAATCAATATCCCTGCTATAAAACAAAAAATCTGATAATTCTCTCTCAACTATTTTTCGTACCATAGAAATGCTTCACTGAATTTTGCTGGCATCAAATTCGCCACGCCTGACACACCCATCAACCTTTTGAGATATTACCACAGATTTGAGCAGGAAAAAGGAAGAACAATAAGGTGATACACATTCGTGTAAAAGAATTTAAGATGCTTTCTAGACAAGTTCAACTCTATCGTAAAGATGGCGTTCAAGTGTATATTGTCATTATATTTTTGGTGCAAAGAGAAACTTGTAGAAGAAACACATTTAATACTTGATTTGATAGAACCCTTCCAAGGCTAGAGGAGGGATGTGCAGCACTCTTTACAGATTTGCAGCACTTACTGCTTCTTTTGTGAAACGTACTAAATACCTTTCTCAAATGAAAAAAAAACAGGAAAGGAAAGGAATTGCTTCAGTTGAAGTTCTTTAATCTTATTAGAAAAGCTCTAATGAAGGGGAGCCTTAATGCAATAGTAAAGTTGTCCCTGGTTGATCTATAGGTCATGGGTTTCAAGCCGTGGAATCAGCCATGGATGCTTGCATAAGATAGGTTGCCTACATTACATTTCCTAATATGCAACACTTCATTGGACCCTGCGTAAAAGAGATTCTTCGTGCACCTGACCAACCTTTAGAGGCACTAAAGCAAATAACAGCAAAAGCAAAACTATGTAAAATATGAGCAGCTTAGGCAAATAATGACATGCAATCCTGTTGAGCTCTACTGATTAAATTCTAGCTCGTATGTTATCTTACTTGGATCTCAAGTGGATGCCCATGAATGCCCATCCGCCTATCAATCATGCATGACCCATCAGTGACCAAGAGAGTAGGAAACAAGTCAAAACCATCACTTAAGCACAGGTTAAGTATCAGGCAAATGCCTGTCTGCACATCCACCCTCTCTTGCAAATTATAGTCCCCTGTAATCCTTCCATAAGCTCTCAATAAGATAACCCACCACAACCCTGTAGAAGTACAATAAAACCAGCACTTAATCTGAGCAGGCCAATTCATCAGAGGTTAGGATCATGAACCAGTACTGAGAAATCTCCAAATGCCAGTGGTGCAAAATACAAAACTGGGAAGATAATGAGCCCTCCCCCTCTACCGTTCTTCACTTAACTACCAGGCTCTGTTTGCAGCAGGGTACTCATTACGTGATCCATGAGTATCATTTGATAAAGGGTTCAAATTGTTGCTATTGACGAAAGAATGTAATAAAGCAACAAAAATCAGAAAGAGACAACCAATCAGGCTGTGAAATAATTAACACTAAGACATTACGTAGAACAATCCACTTACCAGAATCAACAGGTGCAACACGTCCAATTGCGGATTCACCAAAGTCTGGGTCCAGCATATCTTCAAATTCACCATTCCTTCCATCAAGAGGCACAGTTCTGACTTTAAAACTTGCGGGCATCAATCCTTCTCCAGGGTTATAGCAGTCCACGGTTTTCTCCCAGCTCTAAGAAGCACATAAAACAGATGTTTAATTTACCATGGGGATTGCAACTTCCCAAGAAAGAATTGATAAATACAGGGATGTGATGTATGTCACACGTTAATGACATAATACATAAATATGTCCTTTAATTTGGCTTCATCTGATATTTGTGCCCTCAAACTTTGGGTGTGCAAAGTAGACACTTGAACTTGTATGAATTGAACAAATAAATACATGTGACCTATGTGACATAATACACGTAGGATGTCGGGTAGAATGCAGTGTTTTGGGAAGCAAGAAGCAGAAGAAAGCGACGAGGGCTCGCTTCACAAAAGCGAGAAGCGTGAAGCGAAGCGCACTTTTTTTTAAAAAAAAGCGACATTTAGTACAAAATAAAAAAATATTATACAATTGAATAGAGGTACTTAGATTAAATGAAAATAGATGGTCAATAATACTCATAAGTCATAACATATAAAGCAAAAAATCAAAAACATTTTTTGTGCTACTACCCGTAGGAGTTCATACGCCCAAGCCAGATCCCTCTTTTGTGACATTTTGAATGAGAAAATACAAGTTCACAAAATACTACAAGCAAAAAAGAAGTGTCAAAAAATAAAAAACAGAGCAGCAAGAATACACACTGATCACAGTCAGTGTACAGATATAAAAACTAAAAAAAACAGCAAAAGAATTGAATAAAACAGAGCAGGCAGTAATATTAACAAAAAAAATAGGTCAGTAATTGCGAAAAGAAACAATAGCAGATCGCAGCATAGAAGAAGAGAAGAAGAGAAGAAGAGAAGAAGAAGAAAAGACAGCAGAGAAGAGTCCTGTTTGCATTACCCAAAGAGGAGAAAAGGAAAAATAAAGAGAGCAGCGAAAGAAGAGTAAAGTCCTAAAATCGTGAAAGAAAATTAAGTCATATCTATCTCAGATTTTGTTTTTTTAAAAAAAGAACTATTTTTTTTAATTAGAAAAACCAAATTGTCGCTTTTTTATAAAGAACGCGCTTTATTGCGCTTTTTCCATAGTGTCGCTTCTCGCTTCTTTATTTGAAGCGAGTGCCTTTTTCAGATCGCATAGCCTCAGGAGAAAGCAGCGCACTGGTAGCGCCTCGCCTTGAAGCACAATTTTCTGCGCTTTTCACAACACTGGTAGAACGTGATTGTTATATGGGACGCCAAGTACGACGTGTGCTTGTTAAGCTTTGTACAAGTTTAAGTGCCTACCAAAGGGCACTTTTATGTATTATGTCAATGTTAACTGAATCAACAAGCTTTTTCCTGTAAAAACTTGAGTGAGAAATGTTGATTTATCCTAAATCATTTCAAAAATAAAGCAGCAATCCTTCGTAGATATATTAAACTGATTCTGAGATTTCTCATTGTACACACATGCACACATGAATGTGCAAAAGGCCCTATGATGGATTCTCAAACTAAAAAGAAACAGTAGCCTGCATTATTGGCAGCAATTGGAGTGCAGAAATCAACGCAGATTGTGAAAATGATACAGCTCAAAACAGAAAAGCAAACTTAGATGTTTTTCACGCAATTATAAGAAATGCATACCTGCAGTTGCAGAGTGTGGAGCAGAAAATTCTTGACAATCTCCCCCTCTCCATTCAGCAAAAAAGCAAGAGCTGATGGGACAAAATCGCGTATAAACACTTGATCGTAGTTAAGCGGCTGCTTATCAGCTGGATCATTAGCTGCCCCAGTCCCAACGGGGAAGCCACAATAGTTAACAACTGCTCCCCTAAGTAAATTCCATGCCTCCTTTTCCACTTCAGATAACTCTTTCTCATGGGGTGATTCAGAAACACACTCCCCATTTAAATAATTATCAGGATGCTTTACATATACACCTGATCCATTATTTATATCTGTCCTAATTTCTTCTTCTACTTTAGCTACATCTTTACCTGATTCTATTCTGTCAATGACTAAAGGCTTCACATTTAAGCACCCCTGTATGTAAAACTTATTGAACCTCTTCTCATTAACTTGAGCTTCAATCGAAGTTGAAAAATTCCTTCCATCAGATGCAACATTTGCATCGACAGAGTAGCACCTAGTTTCCTTATTCAACCTAAAATGCCTCCAATTCGAATCAGATCCACAAAAAAAACTCCGATTCGAACCAATAATCCCTATAGCCCTAGTAGCATAATCAGAAACCGTATGTATATCATCTAATTTGCAGTGCGGATTCGACAAATTATCATTAATAAAATGATTACATTTCCCAATAAAGGATGAACCTTTACAACTGCTGAGGATTCTACAACATGGTTTCATGGTTGAAATACTAATGCAACTGCTAGTATTCATTTCTTGAGCTAATTAACAATATACTAAAATTTCGTTCCAATTTGAATTTAACTAATTGCTATATGTATATACACATATAGATCTGTTAATTATGAAAAACAAATCAACAGATATATATATAGGTAGATAATTAGATATACAAAAGAAAAAGATTAAAGAATGAAAAAAATATAAACTTACAGTTCAAATGAGAAGTGTGTCTGAAGAAGAAAAGAGATTTCCCAAACAGTAAAGTTGGTGGAATGAGTTTGATACTTATGAGGGGTTTATATAGGTGAGGTCTCAGCGAGACTTTGGACTGAAGCTTCTTGGAATCAAGTTGGATAACTTCACAAACAAACGCAAACGATGTCGTATTTGTCTTTATTATTTTTGCCTTTTCACGTTTTTTTTTTTAAAATCTCGGTCATATTGATTTTAATGTTATACCCGTTTCATTTGATTATGTTTTTTTTTTGTCTACAAAGATTATATAATATAAAAATTAAATTATTTGAGAAAACTATATTATTTCAATTTTAAAATTTAAATTATGATCTTTTAATGTAAGTTACACTTTCATAAATATTTTTTTCGTTTCATAAAGAATTGTCTAATTTTACTTAAAATTGAGTTTATAATAATAAAAAAAAACTTTTGAATTTTGTGGTTACAAAATTGTCCTTCAATCTTGTGAGCATAAATATGTCAGGTTATAAAGTGAAATTGTAATATTATAAAAAAGAATGAGATCATTCTTACAAACTAAAAATGAAAGGAGGTCATTATTTTTTAAAACAACGAGAATATTATACTTACAATATTAGATTTCGAATTAAATTTCATAGGTCATGAATCGTCCATGTGAATCACCCAATTCGACTCATTTTGTTTTTTCTAAAAATAAGAAGACAAACAAAGTTAGTTATCTGCTTCAAATTTGATAAAATCAGCAATGCAAGCTGATAAAGCCAGCAATCTAAGCTGGAAGGTAATCTCATTCCTCCATTAATGGAGGTTGAGCTTAAGCTTTTCTATATTAGAATGCACACTTAAAACAGTACATTGGATGTGTATATATACACAGCAATGAGTAGTTTAACAAATCAATAAAATGCAAAACATGTGAACACTAACTAACTATAACCAACTATAACTAACTACTTGAAAGTTGAATAGTGACTAACTAACTAACTAACAAATTGATTGATAACTAACTCACACTAATCAAGCTAGTTTTATCACCCCCCCCCCCTCAAGTTGGAAGTGAGCCATTCACAGACAACTTGTTCAACAGATTAGAATTTTTAATACCAGTCAATGCATTAGTGAAAACATCAGCCAGCTGAGAGTCTGTTGAGACATATTGGAGTGTAATCAGTCCTTCTTGGAGCTTTGTCCTGACAAAATGGCAATCAACTTCTATGTGTTTAGTTTGTTCATGAAACACTGGATTCTTAGCAATGTGTACTATTGCTTGGCTGTCACAAAATACTTGTATAGGCAAAGGTATTGTCACTGAGAGTTCACCAAGTAGTCTTTCTAGCCACACCACTTCTCCTACTACCTGTCTTATAGCTCTGTATTCTGCTTCTGCTGAAGATAATGACACTGTAGGTTGTTTCTTAGACTTCCAACTGATAGGGCTATCTCCCATGAGGACCAAATAACCACTCACTAACTTCCTTGAATCAAGACAAGATGCCCAATCTGAGTCACAGTAGGCATTGATGGTGATATCAGGTCTATTACTGATAAAAACTCCCAATGTAGGATCATGTTGTACGTATCTGAGTACATGGTAAGCTGCCTTTAAATGAGGTTCTCTAGGAGATTGCATGAATTGACTGAGATGCTGGACACTATATGTTATATCCATTCTTGTATTAGCAAGAAAATTAAGTTTGCCTACTAATTTTCTGTAGTAAGTAGGATCTGGTAGTAATTTCCCTTCTGTAAGCCTTAGTTTCTCAGTAGGATCCAATGGTGAAGTGGTAGACTTGTAGTTTATAGACTCAAATTCCTTCAAGAGATCAAGAGTAAACTTCCTCTGTGAAACAAGGACACCATCCTGCCTGTACAGTATCTCTAATCCAAGAAAATAATGCAGCCTTCCTAAATCTTTTATTCTGAATTTCTCATGCAAGAAGAGTTTCAAAGATTCAATCTCCTTCATATCAGTACCAGTCAAGATAATGTCATCAACATATACAACTACAAATACTAAGGAGTGACCATTTTTCTTGTAAAATAGTGAGTAATCACTGTCTGAATGAACATAACCCTTTGAGCAAAGACTATCAGCCAGTTTCTCATACCACTGTCTACTGGCTTGTTTCAGACCATATAAGGACTTCTTCAATTTGCATACTATATCACTACTGTCCACTACCAGTCCTGGAGGTAAAGCCATGTACACCTTTTCATTCAAATCACCATGTAGGAAGGCATTATTTACATCCAATTGGTACAAATCCCAGCTCTTCTTAACTGCTAATGAGATTAGTGTTCTAACTGTAGTCATCTTTACCACAGGTGAGAAGGTTTCATTGTAGTCTATCCCTGCTTGTTGAGTGTATCCTTTTACCACCAGTCTAGCTTTGAACCTTTCTATGCTCCCATCTGCCTTATGTTTAATCTTATACACCCATTTACATCCAATAACATTTTTTTTCTTTTGGCATCTTAACTAGCTCCCAAGTATTATTAGTGTGCAGTGCATCAAACTCTTGTTTCATTGTTGCTTGCCAGGCTGGATTCAAGCTTGCCTCTTCATAAGATGTAGGCTCAATATCATGTGAAACATTATGGATCAACTGCTGACTTTCAGAACATAGTGTAGAGAAGCATATATGATCAGGATGATTTGTGAAAGATGTGAGTGAATGTTGAGAATCAGTAATATTATTTATAGGTGAAGAAGAATGTAGCTTAGGTAATGAATAGCTATAGTCTTTTAAGTAGTTTGGAGGATGACAAGATCTAGTTGTCCTTCTAGGTGTAAGAACAGGTGCATTTGGTCCAGTAGGTGCTGTGACAGGTATATTTAGCTCAGTAGAAGGTGTTGTTGATTCAGTCATAGGTATATTTTCAGGTATGGAAACTTGATCACAAGTGACTTCATCCAGTGTGTGTTGACTCAACTTCTCATCATCAATAAAAGTATTTGTTTTACTAGACATGTAAGGCAACTTATCAGAGTGATGAACAAGACATTGCAGTATAGAGTCAAAACTAGAACCAGCAGGAGTAATGACAAAAGGAAGAATATTTTCATAGAAAGAAACATCTCTAGACACATGAATTCTCTTGGTAGCCAAGTTTAAGACCTTGTACCCTTTTGTGTTAAAGGGATATCCAATAAGTGAGGTACAGTTCTAGGCTTAAACTTATCTTTATGAGTTTTTAAAGTAGTTGGAAAACAAAGACATCCAAAATTTTTAAGATGTGAGTAAAAAGGCTTCTTCTGATACAACAACTCATATGGAGACTTCCCTTGAAGTAGTTTAGTAGGTAATCTATTAATCAAATAAGTGGAAGTTAATACACATTCTCCCCAATACCTCATAGGTATTTTTGATTGAAATAACAGTGCCCTTGCTGTCTCAAGAAGATACTTGTGTTTCCTCTCTACTACCCCATTTTGTTGTGGTGTGTAGGGACAAGATTTCTGGTGTACTATGCCTTTTTCTTGGAAGAAACATGTTGCCTTAGTACTAGAGAATTCTAAGCCATTATCAGACCTGATAGTTTTCAATCTAGTGTGAAACTGATTTTCTATTAAGGATATGAAAGCTTTTATAGTACAAAGAGCATTGCTTTTACACCTAATAAGTTGTGTCCAAGTAGCTCTACTGTAATCATCTACCATAGTAAAAAAATAGTGATATCCATCATGTGTTGGTACATTATAGGGTCCCCACAAATCAACATGCAGCAACTCAAATATTGAACTGGTTGTAGTAACACTTTCTGGAAATGGCATTCTAGTTTGTCTAGCCATTGGACAAATTCTACAAGTGAAAGGTTGTTTGTTAGAGAACTTTAGAGGAATGGTAGATATGTTCTTCATTTTCACAAATGGTACATGTCCTAATCTAGCATGCCATAAGAATTCATTGTCTTGATTGAAAGAAAAGTGAGCAGCTGAGTTAGAAATCTTATTAGTGGAACAGACCTTTTTATTGATTATATGAGAGTGTTTTGCATTAGGTAGTGATGGTGCTTTACAGTAGTTCATAAGGGAAACAGATTGAAACTTCTGTTGGGAACCAGTATCATCATTTACAGATGGAATGTGACACTTTGAACAAAAAAGATACAAACCACTCCTTGCTTTACCAAGTGCCAGAGGGCTTTTCAGAGAAGGGCCCTGCAGTAAACAAGAACTATTGTTAAAACAGACCATCCCTTTGAGTTGGTTAGCTAAACAATAAACTAATATTAGATTGAACTTGAAGCCAGGTATATACAATACTTTATACAGAGTTAATGTTGAATTCAAACACACATCACCAATTTCAGTCACTTTAACCTTGTATCCATTTGGTAATGTGATTAAGAAGGGATAAGGTAGAGGCTTAAGGTTTGTGAGATTGTGTTTTGTGTAGGTCATATGGTGAGATGCTCCTAAATCAATGATCCAAGAGCCAACAGTTAATCTTTCACATTTACATGACATATCACTTATCTTACTTATAGAAGAATGACAAGCAAGTATACCTGCTAGGCTTGCAGCTCCACTTGACACATTGTTTGAATATTCAAACTCATTTCCAAGCAAATTGAGCAATTGTTCATATTGACTCTTTGACAGATTCACTGGCATTTGTTTTCCCTGCTCAAAATTCTCTTCACACTTGTAACTATCACCCTCAGAGGTATGTACATTTGCTGCAGATCCTCTTCCTCTTCCTCTTGGATTTCTTGTGTTGGTTGGATAACCATGAAGTTTGTAGCACCTATCTTTGACATGTCCAGTTCGTTTGCAATACTCACAAAATATATTTGATCTATTACCAGCATTAGAGTTTCCCCTATAGGCATTAGTGTTGTTGAAATTTCCAGCATTGCTATTGTTAAAACTGCCAGTGTTGTTGTAACTTCCATTTCCCCTACCTATGCTTCCTCTATAAGAACTAGAGTTTGTTGAATTATTTTGAGACAACATAGATGC